AAAACGTCTCGGCGTGACGGCACACTACGACGAATTTAATCTCATTCGTTCGGTGAAGTTTTCATTGACAATTAACCGGTTTGTTCAGAAACGTTTCAACTCGACGGTAGACGCACTACGGTACGCAACAAGCGTACGCTGGATAAACAATCGGCGGGTTGCCACGAAAACGTCCGCGCGCTGCGACGACGGCACAGCTAGTGTAACAGCGGCGCTGTCGGTGTGCAGCCGCCCCGAAATATTAACGCAGACGCAGATCATTTCTCCCTACCTACGCTGTTTTTCTTCCCAACTTTTCGTCTTTTACATACACCTATCCTTGATTTACGCGGAAATCCGTTCCACGTGGATTCGCTTTGCGCGAATGAGAATCAGGTAGAGTCTGACGATACAAGAGAAAACATATTGGAAAGAAAAGCCGGGGTGAGTTTTGGAAATACATATTTATTTTACATTGCGGAACAAAAGAAATGATAATAATGACATTGCAGAAGACAAACGTGTATTTTATTCTATATTAAATTCAGGTTATGCATAAAAACTACCGCGTAAATAGTGTTCCAATTCGTCGCCTAAAAAAGCGTAAATTGAGTCTGGTGTATGTATTTCATTTATAGCTCTTTCCAAATGGATATTCTGGAAAATATTCAAATCTATCTGTTAATTAGAATATAGAAATAAAGTAGCTTTGTTTTTTAATGTAAGAATTATTTCTCGTTAAGTTAGTTTTGTAAAAATCGTTTTTTTCCTCCTAGCTTTTCCTATTTCGCGCATGTATATCACTTAGATGTTCCTACATCGATATTCTGGAAAATTTTCGAATACTAAAGGATTCATATTTTTCATCTAAAGAAGTGAGATTCTTCCATTAACCCTTTAGACTCGGGGGATGAATACATAATTTAAAATATTGAAATAACATAGCTTTGTTCCTTAACGATTGAATGATTTCTCGTTAAGTTAGTTTTAAAAATGTCGTCTGCATTTAATAAAAAAATGTTGAATATTTCTAGTGGAAAACTTCCGAGTGCAAAGGGTTAATTTATCAGTTTTTCTTCCCAAATTTTCGTCTTTCACGTATGTGTTTCATTTCAACGCATCGAGACAATTAACTTCTTTACAATTTTCTTTCAATTTTTCTGCTATTAAGAATGTTCCTTCAAAACTACTTCAGATAAGTTACAAAATTGTAAAAGTTCGGAAGGTTTAAAGAACTTTGCGTTGTGTAGAAGCGTCGCGCACCAATGCAGCGTACCACTTGAGGCGAATCGACTCTTTCTATCGTTGCACCTATTGATAATTGGTTTTTCAATACTAGTCTTCTAAAATGTGTGCTTGCACTTCGATAATTTTTCATCTGAGCAACTTAATCTTCTTTGGGTAAAAGTTAGTTTTTAAAATTTACTTCGATAAAAGGGTTGACATGCATTCAGTTTTGGAAGTTAACGCGTTAAACAAAAAAGATTAGTTTTTGTTTTAACTGGAAACAGGTTGCAGAAATATCACATAAACTGATTAGGATGCAATAAATTTATCGTTACGATACCCCTCCGATGCAGAAAATTGTAGAGGAAATTTGCAAATGTAATTGATTTTAAATAGATCGTTACATAGCTTTATTCCTAATATGATGGCGTCTATTAAAACGTACACAACAGCGGTGCGCGGCATAGAATCATTCAATGTAGTAGACGGTCATAAATTAGTGGGACCTCAAAGAGTCAGGTCAATGCGTACCGCGATTCGTCTGCTAGGTGAACCTACGCGATTGTATTACGAACCCGCCATTCACGTTGTTTTAACTCTTTAGAAGCTCGCTAATTGATGATCTTCTACTATTTCGAATGGTCTTATGTCACACCTCGGTGCTTCAGTTTACGAACGCCGGCACGTTATAGGGTTTACAGAGTTATACGGATTATTAGATTTAAAACAATTAAGGTGTATGTACAATATTTATTATTACCTCGCTGTATAAGTTTTGTTCGTTTCACTGAGTCGTGTACAAATAGGACTTTTGGAAACATTTTGTGCTTCAAACTACTATAGTTTCCAGTGTTATCTATGACAGCTTTCCATTTCTTCGGTAGTTGGACTATTCCTTTTTTATAAAAATCTCCAGATTTATTATTAAAAACTAATTCTATTCGAATTTTTATTTCTTCGAAATTTAAACAATTTTTTTTTATTTAAATTGTTTTGGAAGGCTTGGAGGAGAAGAAAATCTGTTAGTGCCAGATCTTTATTAGCTAGCTATTTTAATCTCAATTACTCTATCTTACTACTTCCTATAAATAGTAGTTCATGCAACAGAAGGGAGTCTGTTCATTCACATAAAATCAAGCGAGGGGAATAATTCAAAGGAATCTTTCACATAGAGCAACACTTAAAAGAAATTAATTTCGACAATTCGTCAGCTATGCAACTGAATAGGATTCAGCTTTCACATCCTATTGCTATCAATTATTTCTATCCGCTGCAATGTTTCCGATTCTAAGCATGGGCAGTGTTTCAAATAACGAAACGAATTTTTCCAGAGTACCCAGAATACAGCTAATAACAAAAGAATACGATATGGCAGTCGCATTCAATCGTACCTACGAACCGCAAAACTAAATTCGTTACACGTGAAGAACTAATACACGTATCCCACGTCGAACATTAAAGTTCACAGTTCGAGTGTTTGAAACTTTTAATGTGCATACAAGGTAAACGGTTAGTTGCTTATTTCCTTGAGGGACAACGAAGCTATTTGTGTTAGAAAAAGTTAATTATACTTACCACGAACGACGCGAATCGCCCGACTGAAGATAACGGTAATGAAATTTGCGTGTTGGGATTGCAATGGTTTTGTTTATCCAGGATTGCTAAATCTCGCGTCTTACCCATCTAAACTGCGCTTCGATTTAATCCGTTTGAAGATTGTATTGCACTTATCCCGTGTATCGCGAGTATCCTTGCGAGTTTTCGAGTGCGTCTAATATGGAACACGAAAATATTTCGAAAAATAAATAGCTTGATGTGTCAATTGCCATAGGACACACTTCATTAGTAACAGAAAACAATCATATTTACCCCTTGCGGTAAAATGACGAGTACAACTCGTCAATTATTTTTCATGTCAAACCGTACAGTGACGAGGTTGTGCGAGCAAAGTTACAGGTAACATGTTTTTACGTGCAGAAAATTTGTACAGTTCCTAATTGAGAAGAAATTGGCATATTATTTAGTTTTACCTTGCTACGTTACTTTTAATTAATATTCTTTCAATTAACAATTAATAAAATGAAACATGCTGTTTTTTTTAATAAAAATAAAATGCTTCTGTCATGCACAATTTTTCATGATTAAACCGTACCGGAAAGGGTTAATGGTTGGACATCAATTAAGAATTTGTCATTGAATGCGAAGCATTATTGTGGTACGTTAAATTTTCTGAAAGTTGAGTTAAATAGTTGAATTGCTTAATATAGATAGGCCAAAGAATTTTATTTTGTTTGTTTTATTATTTATTTTATATAGGCTGTGGTTGAAGGGTGTAAATTTGGGTCCCAATGAGTGTTGCGATTATCTAATGTTCACTGTAATTGATTTCACCCTGACAGAGCAAGAAGACGTCATTCTCCTTGTCCTTGATGATGGTGGAAACATTTTCTTCGGAGTGAAACACACGTGGAGGAACTTAATTAAAAATATAGCTAAGGTACGCCTTGACCGCGTCGACTTTGCAAGTGTCTCCCAACGGTAAAGGTTTATGCTGGCATTGTTCCGCGAATAAGCGGTTCAAAGTGTTCAAATTGATAAGTACGTAAAGACATCGGATTAGTTTCGCCGCTGATTGGGTACGATATTCCAAAATACTAATAACTGTAGAAGGATATCGAAACATATTCGAAGAATAAAAGTTCGAACGGATAAAAGTAAATTGACCTACAGAAATAGTGCATTGGAATTTCAGTGATAATAGACGAAGAAGGTTCAACAATGAAACAATAATGTTATCTCAATAGTTATCTATATTAAAAAATATATTTTGCATGTTAGTTCGAAGATTAGTGGATGAACTGTTTATAATAAAGGGTTACACAGGATGTTCTTACTTTGACAACTAATTACTTTAACATTAGAACTACCATATTAGTCAAAATGACTGGTTTCGACCTTTGTTTCGAAATTATTGATATCTTAAAAGCATTAAATATTCGAAATGATTTTGAAAATAAATAGTTTCACTTGAATGCTATAATGAATTATGAAGAAACTAAAAATAATTTATTATTGCAATTTTTATAGGGATTACGTATCAATCATAGTGAACGCTCGGTACTTCTAGTGTTAAGGGACGTGATGACCTTGATCTTCATCCGTTGTGGGATATATGTAACAGAAGTTTTAACATTCTGGTAAATGTAAAGAGGTAAATCATGCGAATCTTCTAAAGATTGTAACAATAAATTTTTTTCGATTTCTTCAGATATTCGTTATAGTGTATAAGTGGAAGTATTTATTTTAAAAATCATTTCGGATATTTAATACTGCCAAGATATTAATAATTCAGAAATAAGAAAACTGAAATTCGTCGTTTTCACG